AAGAAGGGATAGATCGTGTACGAAGAGCTAATGAAGAGGAGAGTAGGGTGGTTGAGGTTACTGAGGAAAGACCACAAAAACGTGCTGCACGTCAGTGCAGTATATGTGGAACAGTTGGGCATACTGCCCGTACATGCTCCCAGCGTACAAGAAATAGTTCTTAATGTAATTAGATGATTTCTCTATATAGTTGTGGTGAAATTTGACTGTGAAGCTGTATGATGGTGGGGAAGTGTCCGACTAGGCCATTTGTCCGACTAGGTTATAGATCACGTTACCCTTTTTGCAACATGCTTACATAAAATATACGCACACGCATAATGCTTTGAAACATTTCCGCGGCCCAGTTGTTTGTTTCTCAATGCGTTGGGGCAGCCTGTATATAGTGAGGGGTCAGAGTGGGTAAGTAATTACTGTGGATATTCTGGCAGCGACACCAAAGACGCCATGTCGTATAATGCGCACCTGTGGTGCCAGCATGGTCTTTCCAGAAGACTCCGCCGTAATCCTGGACGCTGATCATGTCGATCTTGTACTGCGTATACTTTGCTGGTCCTTTACACTGCTGCCTACAGTAGCTTCAGGTTGCAGTCTGCCATACACAGTGTGTGTATAGCACGTTCCTCCGACCCACTCGGTGTTGTTTCGATGGTCCACACCAGCCACATCGATAGGGCCAACAATCATCTCTCCACTCGATAACGAGTCTAGCTTCATTTTTGAGGGGCAGTATGGAGGGGTCTTTGTTGTCAGATTGTCAGTATAAATAAAACCGCTTGGCTGGCTTAAGTGCTCACACCAAATTTCCAAACTCTGGCTTTTTACATCCACTGCCTACTGCTCCATCTTCACCACCATCAAAATGTCCTTCCATCTTACTTCCGAGGACATCCATCTCGAATTTGCCGATGACAGCACCTGGCTGGTCGCGCAGGTCAAGGATGCTCATGGTCGCTTCCATCACAACCGTGTCAGACTAGACAAGCACATTGGAAACAGCGATGGTGAGCCTGCAGTGTCCTGCTTCTGTCACGCTGCCAGAAAGAGAATATATTTCTAACTTCCGCTAGGCTGGTTTATCTGGGGCGGAGAGAACTTCACTCGCAGCGCTCGTGACATTCGACTGGAGCATGGCCCCAGGGGACCGAAACTCACTGCTGAGCTGCCCATGATCAACGGGGGTTTCAGAGAGCGCCAGGGCATCGACTTGGCCGATAGGATTGAGAACCGGGATGGTCACCTTGTGTACCTGGTGAGTTGCACCTGACGGAGGTTAAATGGAAATTTAGACTAACATACATCGATCGCTAGGGATGATTGAGTCACGTTGTATGAATGGCATGTTGTAGCTCTGAGATAGGAATATAGAACATTCACCAGTGTTTTCATTTCATTCTCTTTCTACCTTCCCTTGCCCTACTTCTTGCCATCTCTACACAGTAATACCTTGAGGACTTTCTCCGCAGAGCTGAATGACAAAGGACGCCCAATCGAGCTGCGATTACTGGTGGTTCCCCTAACTATCCAGTGTTTGTGGCTAGAGCACGCATTGCAAGTGTAAGTTAATATTATTTTAGTGCCTATTGTTTATGTGTCTATACCCAGCAATAGTTAAAATGCTGGATCATATACAACGCAAAATGTTTTCAGCCTTACTGTTTGCATGTAAAATCAGAATATAGCTTAACGTCACAAACATCCGGATCCGTTGAAGGCAAGCAGGCCATAGATGTCACATATCTATAGAATCCTCAATATAAGATGTTCTTTCTACAATTTTATTGACGCCTTACCCTTTGAAGTACATATTTGTCTCTTACGAGGTAACTCCATTTATTGGCCTTTTTCAAAAATTGATATGGTAGTTGAGAAATGAAACTCTTATCGTCATTTCTCGACCTTGTACCCAAATGAGTTCGCCTGCCAGCTTCCTATGATGATGTCTATGCGTATATAAAAACTATAACAAGATACCTCATCACTATAATGGCACGACGATTACGGGCTCTATTGATTAAGAATCCCAAATTGACGCGCTAGATAAGGCCATGATATATGACAGTGCTCTGATCTCGGGTTGGTTACCCGGTATTACTCAGATTTAACACCCTCACCAGACTCATTATCGACATCATCTCTTCTCCACATGCAGATGTCATCATCTAGGAGCTGTTCGCGGAGGTAATCCACATTCTGGAAGAAAATGGCGCATTGACAAAGGACGGTCTGGCAAGGATAATTCGCATCGACAACGTCATTTAGAGAGCACAAGGATTGACGGGACACTGAGCTGTGGTCTGAAGAGAGTGTACATGGATGATCATCCTCGAGAACGGAGTACATGTTTTAATGGGGAGTCATGTGCCTGCATGACTATACAACATCCATCATGATGTAGCTAATTTCGAAAATCCAGATGTATATATATATGAAGCATTCAGAGTATGAATTAGCCAGGCAGAATATTGCAGACAGTTCCTCTCCAAAAGCGCAAGACGCTGGTATGACAGAGAAAGACCGGTCTTTATAAATCCTCGCAAGCAGAAAACGTTCCATTGTGACCTATGCCCCCAATATCCTCGGCTTCGGCTACAGCGTAGCGCACATCTCAACCTTCTGAATTGAACTATTGGAGTAGAAGGAAATGAAGGAGATCAAAAATATACCAGCGAAAATATATCTACTTGTATGGAGGCCTAGAAAATGTTCATCATAGGTTCTGCCATTGCCAACATTGTAATCCGGAAGCCTGCAGTAGCTGCTTGAAAGAATACTGTTCGAAAATAATGCCATTGCCAATACAGCAATTTTTCTCTAAACAGAACTAAATCAGTCTGTCATTTTTTGGTTAATGCGACTTTCTCTTCTATCACGCTTGACCAATAACAAAAAGTAAAAAAAAAGGTGCAGAGCTGCTCGTCTTGAATATATATCAGGATTTATTTCCTTCTCCAACTCTCATTCGGTCGTTCCTACACGCCTGTTCAAATCTTCGAGCCAAGCATTTATTTACATGTCCTACTGTCCAACATCGGCGAATCGCTCCCTCGACCCTAACCACATTGATCCATCCTGGTCTGTTATTGGGACTGTGGTCTGCTGAGCATTAATATTATCTTACAACTCAAACCAAACCTAGTTGATGTTTTGCAATTAGGTAACGACAGGTCTACGATCTCGAAGAGCCTGTAGGATATGTGGGATATAGATAATGCTGCCAGTCACCGGCATCCATCTCCCTTGGTGCCTCAGGTATGATAAGTGATTGGTTCTTGGCGCCATTTGTGACTATGGACACCCGCGCGCCTATTTTCCATCCCCAGATATACCCCCTTGTTTTTTTTTTACGTATTTAGTTACTAGATAGGATAAGAAAAGGCTCTACTCTCTACAGTGCCAGTCCTATAATCCAGCAACAGCGAAGACTACGTCAACAAAGCAGCTCCTCCGATCACAATTCACATTCTGCAAACCAATGAAACTATAATCAACCGAGGCAGTAGTCTTGAATCTCATCATCTGAAAGCGGTAAAAGGTCCATCAGCTGGAGCAACGTACTCTGTACAGAGTATATCCCGTTGAAACTCCGTTAAGATCGCCAGCTTTCCATGGTACAAGTTGATATAGTGTTGATCACCAACCCCCTTTTTATTTTATCCACTCCGCTGCCAAATTTTACTTTTGGTTAAAGCTCCGAAAGGATATTTCCACTAACAAACTAAAAAAGAAAAAAATATATATACACATATACTAGTGAATGGGGAATTTAATTGCAATGAATTGAATTCCAAATTTTCTATATACAAGAGAAACGATATTATGACCCAAAACGACGAAAACTTGAAGCCATAATTGCCATATAAAAATTTTCTACATACACTAAAGCAGGTGTTGAGCGATGTCGGCTTAATTAACCATACTCTGTTAGTAAATCTGCACTCTAGTTCGTTAGGCTTAGCGCATTTCAGGCATTGCATCTCAACATTAGGCTGAATATTTCAACTTATATGCATGTAGTGATGGCGAGTAACACCCAATTCAGGCACCAAATCCATGCGAAAGGCGAAAAGCCCCATACTCTAGTCGTCTCAGTATGGTTTGACTACTAACTAGTCCGGAGTAATTACTCCGTACTCCGTTCTCCGTATTTTGTGTGGGAATACGAGGTTGGAAACTTAATTTAACCGAAGAAAAAGGAAAGGAGTGTGGAGATCGTCACAGATCCGCTAAGAAAGAAGCGAAAGCTCGAACGCATGTCATGGCAATCGAGTTTGTCGTCTCCTATCCATATCAATCCCCAAGTTCGGTGAAGGGTCTCGCTCGGTTCTTCACCGAGCCCTGATGCGGAAAACGGAGATGCTTTAAATGAATGCCTGAGTTTAAAACTAAACTCATCTCCACCCCCGCCAGTATCTACCTCGTGCTTCAAAATTGGGTGTCGTTTGGTTCGGTTGCATGTACTCAATTTGTTCGCGATCCAGGTACCCTGTAGTACGGCGTAGACGGTCCGTTACTACTGCTGTCATGGTAGATCGAGTGTAATATCGTCATCCTTTTTTTTTCAGAGGTTTATGATGATTGCGATTTCTGCTTTCAGAACGATTGTCTATAGGGAGGGTTTTCGGCTAGGATAGGGCTCGTGCCAGCCGAGGTCGATAAGGGGAGATATGGTGGATCACCCTCGCCAAGAGGGAAAAGAATCCTCGCTAGCATTCTATGGTCGAGAGGTCAGCCCTTCGATTTTCTGGTACACTAAGAGCTGACATACCGATAGTTTGGGCCAGCAAAGTTTGTTTACCCTGAAGTTGGAACCAGCATGACGGCCAAGTTCCGTGATATCGACGCAGAATAGTCAGCAGTTGCTTCGATTCTGCTTCACCTCGTCATCCTTGTTAATATGACCACCATGTCTGCAATGCGAAATTTGCATCTGGCTCCTCAGATGCCTAACAGGCTAACAGCATCTCCTTTCCCCCGAGATCCACTCTAATATGACATACGTGGAGAACGCACCGTTGCGGCGCTTTAGACGCACGTCCAGCCAACCTTGTTCCGCTCGCATCCAATCAGTTCTGCTGTCACTCCAGCTGGCTGCACGAGAAATAGACTTGCTGGGCAATGCAGGCCCTATGGAGGCGACGCGAATGGAATCTGCAAGCGAAACTAGCCGAAACAAACTCGCGCCACGAGTTTCTCTCCGAGCCGCAACGCCTGGGACGGTTTCTGGGGCACATGCTCCTTCTCCAGCTGTCTGTCGCCAGGGGAAATCATAAGAAAAGGGATGGGGAAGAGCTATATTGTCCTCGTCTCCCCGGCGTGGGGCATGCATGTCATGTCAGTGATGGACCGACACTGAGGACTCGCCCTCAGATCCACGGCCTTGCGAATCCCTGGCGTTGCGACGATATCCTGCGGAAACGAGATGAGAAATAATGACCAGGCTCATGCAGATTCTGCGCTTCGTCCACGGCGACTATGCTCTGCAACACCATCTCGCAGCTCGGCAAAGCACTCTCGATCCCAGCTCGCAGGACCTTATCGTGGATGACGCGCAGAAACAGCGGTTTCTCGCCATCGGCATCGTGGCGCTCATCTCGGCGGTAGCAACCCTGTGCCTGCTGTCCTTCCTGCTCTACCGGATTGTCTTCTGGAGGAACTACTACAAGCGTCCGCTCACCCAGAACCAGTATGTCTTGCTCATCTTCAACCTCATCCTGGCCGACTTCCAGCAGGCGCTCGGCTTCATGATATGCCTCGTCTGGGTGTCGACAGGCTTCGTCCAGCACCAGACGGCTGCTTGCAATCTTCAGGGCTGGTTGGTGCAGACTGGCGATCCGGCGAGCGGATTGTTCGTGCTGGCCATTGCCATCCATACGTGTGCGGTCGTCCTGCGAGGACGACAACTCCCACATGGTGTCTTCGTCGGCTGCATCATTGCGCTGTGGGCATTCGTCCTGGTTCTGGGGTTCATCCCAGTGGGATTGTTTGGCAGTAACACGTTTGTCGTCTCCGAAGCAGGCTGGGTGAGTCCCCAAAGACTACTGCAGAAGCTTTCAGCAACGTCACCGAGCTAACAGTCTGCTTAGTGCTGGCTTAGTCGCGAACACGAGACCGTCCGGCTCTGGGACCATTACGTGTGGATTTTCCTCTCCGAATTCGGCACCGTCGTGCTGTACGGCATCATGTTCTTCTACCTGCGCCGCCGCATGATGCAGGCGAAGATCGTCCACCGCGGTCAGGAAGAGAACCTCAAGCGCCTCAACCGCGTCGTCATCTACATGGTTGTCTATCCAGTCATTTACGTGATTCTCTCCCTCCCCTTAGCCGCGGGCCGCATGTCCGTCGCGAGACACGTCGTCCCCAGTCGGTCTTATTTCGCCCTTGCTGGCGCCATGATGGCGCTGTCCGGCTTCGTCGATGTGCTCGTGTACACGTTGACGCGCAGACATCTGCTCCTCGAGACCGAACAGAGCACTACCGACCGTCACTACGCGTACTCGGAGTCGAACCATGCCTACCAGACGCAGGTCAGCACGACCATTGGAGCTACGAGCAAGAAGCGTCCCGGCATCGCCTCCCGTTTCCGTCGCGACGTCAAAGCCTCTGCCACCATTACCTCCGTCAACGACGACCGAGACGCCTCGACCGACGACATCGTCCGCAAGGGGGATATGGAATTGTCCGAAATGGCGCCGCCGGGGATTTATCAGGAGACGACGATTGAAATAACCCATCACCCGGTCGAGCCGGAGGAGCCGTCGGACAAGAAGGCCCGCAGCAGCGGCTTAGCTGAGAGGTGAACTAGACTACGCAATTCATATACGCTCGTTGTATATTCCTGCTACGCTAGAAATGGCTTTTAATGGCTCATGACGTGTTTTCATATCACTTTTAATTATATTCCCGTTCTCATTTCATCACGATTGTATATATCCTTCTTTTAATAATTTTTAATATTTTGCTATGACGGCGAGTAAATTTTTTTCTTCAAACATTCACATTAGAGAGGCTTTACAGTATTATGTAAGAGTAACCAATCCTAATATATAACTACTTCAGTAGCCACTGCCTATAATCCCTGGCATTCTGCAACAGAATATACATAGGACTCCTTATACAATGATGATATGCAGCCATGTTTATTATCTGTCAATTTTTCGTCAAGATTGATTTGTACATGTTTAAAGTAGATAATTTTGAACGCCATAACAACACACGGGTGGATGCCGTTCATGTTGTTGGAGGGGCACATGACAATACCTGTGAGATCGATCATATCATCCCTAGATTATTATCTGCAGCTAAATCGCTTGTTGAGCACGTCCAATACCGAGAAGGAACGCGTCCAGATTCCAGGCGAGAGCCGCGAGATAGATGGCGAACTCATCCGAGATCCAAATTGCGACGACAAAACCACACTTCTGGGAACTTTGGCATCGGAGAATACCCGCTCTAATGGAAAATATATAAAATGTCCAGTATTGTGGCCTGTTTTTTTTTCTGGATTGATTTGCTGCGATCACCATCTTCGTATTATTGTATATAAAATGATCTACAGTGCTTGCTTCAGATAGTAAAGTCGGTCCAGAACTTTTGATAACGTCATTGCAAAACCCTGGATCGATTTCATTCAGTTTAGGTAACATTTCTAAGGCTGTAGAATGAAAGTTTGATTCTTTCTCAATCGAACGGCATCTACTCTGAGAAACTGCTCTCTGTATGTAGCATTCAATTGCAGAGGGAATGAATATCTACATAATGAAACAAGGACATCCGTGTCAAATACATCAAGCTCGCCTCCCCTAGCTCTCATTCTGTGTCGCAGCATACTGATGCAGACTCCCCGTCCCTCGCCAATACTGAGGCTGCTTCTTCTGCTCCGGAATTCCAGCCCCCGCCGCCTCTCTCTTCTCAGGAGGCACCCCCCCACCCTCCCCCGCCAGGCGTGTGTATGAACAGCTGCTCGCCACATTTCAGCTGGATGATCCCCTTCCTGCCGACGTTGACCCATCGGTCTCGCCCGTCCGTCAGTTTGAGCAGCGCCAGGTTGCGTCCGCTCTTCCCGGGCCCGCCCCCTGCCATCCTGTACGGCCGATGCACGCGTCGCTCCGAGCTCAGCGAGAAGGTCATCGCCGCGCGGGCTTCGAATGCCCGGATGGCTCCGTCTCCTCCTGGATGCAGGCCCTCGCCGCCGGAGCCGTGGCGGATGGAGAACTGTTTCACCAGAACGGGGTATCGCTTTTCGAGGATCTCGAGGTCGGTGACGCGTGTGTTTGTCATGTTCTGAAGCCACTAATTAGCAGGATATTCGTCTGTCGAGCGATAGTGTCCTTCCAAAGGATCATATCATATCCTACCGTATGCACAGCAGAAACTCCCCGCCACGTCGGTCCTGCACCACTTCCCCCGCAAATCGTCTCGCCGTACATGAAAGTAAAGCCCGCAAAGGGCTCGCCCGGCTTCGCCTTCTCGCCGCCGTACATCTGCACGCTGTTCATGCAGCCCTGGCTGGCGGCACACGTCTCGAACGCCTTGAACACGACGTCCGTCAGCCGCTGGCTGGTTAGCGAGTTTCCCGTATACACGGCTGCGCCGCTAGACGGCGACAACACAGTGTTTGGAGGGATGATGATGTTGATCGGGCTGAGACAGCCCTGGATCAGGGGAATCTCCTCATTGATCATCGCCCGCACTGCGTAGATAATCGCTGAGTAGACAAGGCTGGCTGGCGCGTTGCGGTTGCCGTACGTCTCCGGGTCCGTCCCTGTGAAGTCGAAGTCGGCGCTTCCTGTCTGGCCGTCAATGCGGACTTCGAGATGGATCTCCGTGCCATCGTCAAGATACTCGACTGCCTTGAGCGGCTGGCGACGCTCTTTGGCAACTTTCTTGAGGTAGTTGCGCACAGCCATCTCAGCGGTTTGCTGGATGGCCGCCGTGTAGCGCTGGACGACGCGCGTGCCGTATTCGACGAACAGCTCCTGGATCAGGAGCGAGCCGCGCTGGTTGAGAGCAGCTTGATGACGATGTCCTCGCGGGCGGGGACGATGCCGATGCAGTCGCAGAACGTGCCTCCTCGATCTGACGAATGTCAGTAAAGGCTTCAGATGAGACAATGGTCTAAAACAAAGCGATGTAGATTCTGATCTTCTGGTCGTCCTTGTCAGAGTTGAGGAACGGCATGGCGGTGTCAGAATTGGAACATCCAGGAATTACGGCGTATGGATATTGGAGATAAGCGTCTGATAGATGCTATCTCTGACCAGGCTTGTCCAGGCCAATACTGCCCTTAAATCTGTTTTCTTGTCGCACATCAGCTGTTCGTCTCTCAGTCGGGTCGTTGGGGACGTGACTTGAAGATCGTGTTCCGTCGTCGTTCTCCGACAGCACTGGGTCTTCATCCCCGCACGAAGACAGGCGACTTTCTTGCCAGTCTGGTCACAAAGCAGAAATTGACAACTAGTGAGCATGCAATCAGCGATACCCCACTTACATGGCTGCTAGGATCGAGCTAGCTCTGACTGTCAGTAGCTTGCAAGACGATAGTCATCGGACGACACCGATAGCGCAGATAAGTGCCGGCGAACGACGACGATAGCTTTACTAGACGATGCCATCCGGCTATGGCGGTGCCTCCTGGTTAAAACTCGATCGGTCATCACCGGTGTAGGTATTCAACCAGCATCCATGAATTAATACGAAGCTTGCCTCGTTGGCATTATTTGTCTGTTGACTCCGACGGCATTGAGTCCGAGTCGATCGATCCATCAACCACTGTCTGAATCCGTACTGCACCTCGCATTTGTTTTGATATCACACAATAATGAACTCCGAAGATCCTAAAAAGTTGCACGACCTCGCCATGAAAGGCAACCAGGCTCCTGCAGTGGAGATCGGGGCGGGTCAGTCATACGACACCGCCGACGAGAGAGATGTCGACATCGCAGCGAGGATCCTGGCTACTGCTGATCATGAGGGGTCCATAACGCAAGAAGAGATGGACGCCGTGCGATGGAAGATCGACCGGCATATGGTGCCGATGCTGTTTGTCTGTCTGCAGCTGTCGGGGTGGGACAAAGTTGTGTATGGCACATGCGATCCAGCATTGTTATAATATCAGCAACATATTTTCTGACTTAGTTCTGTAGAGTCGGCACAGAAGCCATCTATGGCATGATCGATGACTTGGGCCTTAGCGGGTACCAGTACAGCTGGGTTGGGTCGATCATGTACTTCGGTGTGTCTCCTTATCCAAATCCCGCGAAGAAAGAGTTGAGAAAGGGCTAATTGAGTAGCCTTCCTCATTGGAATCTTCCCGACGCTGTGGATGTTGCAGCGCTTCCCCACAGGCAAATACCTCGCAGTCAACATCTTCCTCTGGGGTGTCGTCGAAATGTGCCATGCCGCCTGCACCAACACCTCGTCCATCCTGGTCTGTCGCTTCCTGCTGGGCCTATTCCAGTGCTGCGATCTCCCTGCCATGATCATCATCGCAACCATGTGGTGGCGCAAGTCGGAGCAGCCGGTGCGCAGTGCCATGACTTGCGCTGTGACGTCGTCCATTGGCAATGGGCTCATTTCCTTCGGGTTCGGCCATCTCGAGCATTCTGCCCTGCCGAAGTGGAAGCACATCTTCCTTTCTGTCGGTGGGCTTACCGTCCTTTACGGCGCGCTGATGTTCTTCATCCTCCCGGACAGCCCGGCAGATGCGTCCTGGCTGTCTGAACGTGAGAAAATCGTCGCCATCGAGCGACTGCGCGACGAGAAACTGGGGATCGAGAACAAGCACTGGAAGTGGGAACAGGCCATGGAAGCGGTCACTGACTGGAAGAACTGGATTCTGTGGTTTTTCTTCATTTCCGTCAACATCCCGAACGGCGGGCTCATTTCCTTCAGCACCATCATCATCAACTCGCTGGGTTTTTCGGCGGAGGATTCGTCTCTTATGACAATCCCGACGGGTAAGTCGTCAGGGCCCTTCTTAAGCTGCATGCTGAGGAGTCAGGCGTGGTATCGACCCTCTCGGGGATTTTCTTCAGCTGGCTGGCTGGGAAGACGCGGAAGTATCGTTGGTTGGTGACAGTCGCGAGTCTCATCATTCCTCTTGTCGGGACGATTCTAGTTTACAGTAAGCCCATATCCAATAATAATCATGCTAAGGCAGCGGACTGATCTTCTAGCTCTCCCTCGCACCAACAAAGCCGGCCAACTGATCGGCCTCTACATGCTATACGTATACTGGGCGCCGTACGTATGCGGCCTGGCCCTGTTCCAGGCCAACACGGCTGGACGGTCGAAGAAGACGACTGTCAATGCGATGGACTATTTTGCGTATGCAATTGGCAATATCATCAGTATTCTCCCAGTAAGAAACCATGGTAAGTCCAAGGCTGACGGGTTGCAGGTCCCCAAACCTTCGTGGAGAAGCAGGCACCGAAATACACCGGCGCCATTGTCGCAATGCTCCTCTGCTACTGCCTCTGCATCCTGCTGGCCATCTTCTACGGGCTGGTGTGCAAGTGGGAGAATGTCCAGCGGGACAAGTTGCGTGATGCCATCGGCATCGAGTCTGTTGATGAGCATGAGGCCGACTTTTTGGACCTGACAGACAAGCAGAACAAGAGCTTCCGCTATCTCACTTGATTGGTAGTGCTGTAATTGCGATGGGAAACTTTACGGGTATTTGTGCGTAGCCATGCTGTAACGGGCTAAATATATATAATGGAGTGAAATGTGCAAACACCAACGCACTCTCGATATTCCATGTGTCAGAGCCATACCAATTGAAACACCAATATTCCTCAGGGCACCGGAACGCTCTCGATTCCGTAATCAGGCCGATCTGAACTGGACAGACTCCCAGACAGGACAGGACTGTAGTGCTACATGGCGCTCACAAAGCCTGCCACGACATCTATTCGATAACGCGCAGTTAAGTAGCCGTGAAAAAGATGCGTACTAGCTGATTCATCGGCGCTGGAATAGGCTTTTTTCCCCAGTTACCATGGCCGCCCGGCTAGCACATAATCAAAGAGACCAGCCAACTGCTCACTGGGAAGCAATACAGAGCCTCATCAACCACAAGCGGAGAACAGCTTGATAAATAAAGCAAAGCGACCTGGCTCGAATTCGCAGCTGCGCTTCAACAAGATCCTCTCTATTGCGTCCTTGGATCAATTTAGCTTGCACGAGATAAGTTAGACTGCATCTCTACGAGGCATGACCAAATACCTGACAGTGATAGACCCTTTTCTTTGAAGCCAGTGGTCAATAAACCGGGACTCCGTCCAACCAACCACCCAATCTCAGGCGGACGTAATGCCCCAGTTCAGTGGATCCGTCCTCTTTGATATGCATTTCCTCCATATCTCGGAGGATGTCATCGATATAATCACCTGCACCACTCAGATACAGAATGCGCCCAATTACGCCGTGGTTATTGCTGTATGACATCCGACGTACAAAACATAGATGGTACGTGTCAGGAAGAAATTATCGACCAGGTAATCGGAGAAAGCAGCCAAGCTTGCTTCCAGCGCATTTCCCTGCTCCGTGCCCCGAGAATCCAGATCGATGAAGCGTGACAAGGCCTGAGAATAACTCTGTTCCGGTGCATCTTCTCCCTGGCGCAGTTCCTTCTCGAGGAACAGAAAGAAGCAGCGCAGGAAATCGTCCTTAGCAATGACCGAGTCGTAAACAGCGCGGAGAAGAGTGATCCGTTTGTAATCCTTCGCGTTCGTCGGAGAGGGCTCGTACTGGGCCACGATCCGATTGAAAATATCGACCGCGCGACTCCGTTGGTCTGGCTCCAGAGGTTGGGGCGAAGAAGAAAAGTCGATGACGCCTTCCAACGACGATTGATGCCGGTGGAGAGGCGAGGCCATTACTCCGTACGATGGAGATCACCCAGGAAAACGAGTTGGGGCACACAATTCCAGAGCCGGTCACTTGGACTGCTTCTTCGTGAAATCGAAGCTCGCCATCGAGACGAACATGATGGCAACGCGAGCGAGCTGGAAGCCTCTCGCTGCTCAGGCTGTCTTACGGAGTAGAGGGATGGCAGGAAGGCGAAACGGAGGAGTACGCAGGATGGGCGGTCATCTGACCTGCTTACTCTACGGATGCGGCAGCGGCTGACTAATCGAGGTTGGCGGACTAAATTAGCCGGTCAGATGATTTATTGATCCAGATCACGTGACCAGATGGCTAGATGGAAGAACTGCGGCCTCAAATTCATCGGCATTGCAAAGCGTTCGACACCCCTTTCTGTTCATTCCGTAATGCATTGGGAGCGAAAATGCTGGGAAACTCGAACAGTCATTGCGGCATTTACTCCGCTCCGTGCCACCTACAATGCGTGGCCGGTAGGACACTGTGCCGTTCGTTTGGTCCCATTGACAGCGTCGAATCTATATGCGTTAGTTCACCCATGTTGAGAATTTTTCTTCTGATAGCTCTCCTCTCCTGAACATGTCTACTTGGGCCATGGCATCGACGCGGTGTTCGCCGGTAACGCGCGGTCGGGTTTCCTCCGCAGGCTACCTAGATAGGTAACTTAGCTCCAGCAACCAGATAAATTCAAACGCCATGTCCCTGCTCATTCCGTAGGCAACTCCTATTCTTTCTTCCATTGGAAAGACGAAACATTTTACTATCTCAATGGCCACCTTCCCCTCCACCGTTATCATCGTCGGCGCCGGCATCTTCGGCCTGTCGACCGCCCTCGCCGTCTCCCGCCGCCATCCGGGCTGCAGCGTCACCGTCGTCGATCGCCTGACGCCTCCGGTGGAGGACGGCTCCAGTGTTGATACGACGAGGTGTATCCGGGCAGGTATCTTCTTCTCTCCTCTCCTCTTCTTTTTTTTTCTTCTAAAAAAAAAATATCGCTTTCTACTTTCTATGGTTTCCCATGAAAAATGCTAGTGTACTGTACATAGGCAATGATGCAAGACAACTGCTAAGATGTCCAGACTACGCCGACTCGATATACGCCCAGCTGGCGTCAGACGCACAGAAAAAGATCGAGGCAGACCCCGAGCTGAGCCGGTACTACTTCAAGCAGGGCATGACCTTCGTCTGCGACGGCCAGCCGGGCCGGTTCTTCGACATCTGGAACAAGGGCCTCGAGAACGTGAAGCAAAGCAACTCGTCTGTCGTCGAGATTCCTTCGCCGGAGGACGTGTTCCGGCGCATCCACGGGCAAGACGCTGATCTTGTGCCTGAAGAGCAGCTGGGTCGAGAGCGGAAGTGGAAGGTCGGGTACTGCAATCTCGACGACGCGTTTATCGATGCGGAGGAGTGTGTGCGCATCTACTATGAGCGCTGTTCCCAACAGCCCCATGTTACTTTTCAATGTGGCACGCCGGTCGAGCGCATCGCTATCGCGAATGGACGCGCAACCGGCGTCGTTCTGACAGACGGGACTGTTCTACCGGCAGAGCTGACGCTGGTCGCAGCTGGCGCCTGGTCCAACACGCTGGTCTTCCTCGAGGGACTGGCGTACTCGTCCGCCATTGAGGTGGCATGGCTGAAAGTCACAGAGGAGGAAGCCGACCGGTGGAAGAACATGTCCATCACCACCAACCTCAGCACGGGTTTCAACATCTTCCCCCCGTATCGCGGAGAGATCAAGTGCCTCCGTCGCTCGCCGGGGTACTGCAATACAGAGACCATCCCTCACCCAGAAGATCGATCCAAAACGATAGAGGTGTCTGTTCCCCGGACCATCGTCACCAATCCGGGCGATGTCATCCCTGCAGATGCAGAGGCCGCGCTGAGGGACAACCTGCGAGAACTGATGCCCAGTCTGGCAGACAGGGAGTTTGACCGGACGAAGCTGTGTTGGTCAGTCATCGACGATGCTCTGATGAATTTCAACATGCTGACTGGACCAGGATATCCCAAACCCTGACAGCAGACTTCATCATCGCTCCGCATCCGCGCATCGCCAACTTGCATATCGCAACAGGCGGCTCGGCCCATGCGTGGAAGTTCCTCCCCATCATCGGCGATCTAGTGCTGTACTCGATGGAGGGGCGTCTTGACTCTGAGCTGGCCAAGAAATGGGCCTGGGGGAGAGATGGCATGGATGGGGGAAACGCGCCCCGAATGGATGGTAAAGCACAGGAGCTGCGAGATGTCGTGCGGAGGAATGCAGTTGCAGCTGAATAACAACAGTATTAGGCATGATAGTAGATATAGAAATCGTATATTATCTAGTGTCCATCTCCAACTTGGGATATTTTCAATAATTTCTCTGCCATCTGCCTATAAATACAGTTCCTTGATAAAGTTATGTACAATGTTTATACGGCATATTCAGTTTTGTTCTACATATAATCGATGTTCTGTTGTTGTTGTCGTCTGGCTCAGGATTTTGATAGGGTATGTGCAAAATATATATTACGGGGGCACCTCTCTATATATACCTTTAATAGGGCCATGCGCGACTCCAACATAAAAGATCGTATAAGATTTTTTTCCCATTTAACTACACAACAAATCAACCAATCTGAATTTCAAAGAGTGCTCCTAAATGACCATCCGAGTTGAATGCGTAGCCTACTACCCAATACGGCAATCCTGCGGAAATCCATTAACTAACCGAAGCGGAAGACGCTAAGGCCGTTGATATCAGCAACAGAGACCATTGGCCTTGTCGCTGCGGGGAATGCAACTAGAGGCGCGATAAGCATGGAGAGCACCTGCTATCGTACCATGCCCTACCTAGTAGCTGCTAAGGCAGGTAGGGGTCGATTGACGAGTCTGGTAGTGTTCTCTGGCTTATCGCGCGGACAAGATGCGGGGAAAGCATCCTGGACGGCTTCAGTCTGCACTGAGGTTATGTTGTCCTCTGGGATGCGTTTTTTCTCACCAGCAGTGTGATACCTAGCTGTCATGCCAGCGTCTCGCAGCAGGAATAATCACAGTCATAATAATCACAGCTCGCGAACTCTGGCTCGGTCCAACATCACCGCCTGCATTCGCTGCCGTCGGAGGAAGCAGAAATGCGACCAGAAGCTGCCGGTAGGACAGCCTCCTACTGTTCTTGCAGTTGCATGCTGACGCTCTACAGAGATGCCATTCCTGCGAAAAAGCAGGGGTTGACTGCGTGGGATATGATGCCGTGGCTAAGAGACACGTTCCATGGAGGTATCCTATCCCGCTATGCTTCTTATATTGACTGCTGATGGCCTCAGTTATGTCCACAGCCTCGAAGAGAGGGTCGCGTTTCTCGAACTGAAACTCCAGCGCTATGGCATCCAAGACGTTGAACCAGACTCTCCGGCCTCATTGCAGTCGCATGCAAGCAACCATCCAGCAGATTCACACGCTCAGACAGCGAAATTCTCCCTCAAACAAGACGACAGCGTCATCCGGCCTCTTCTCAACGCCAAAACGAATGGCTCCTCCCGCTCTCTCTCGCAGATGCTCCGTTTCGGCACCCAAGACGACGTCTCCTTCAACAGGCTGCTGTTCGCAGAACTACACAAGACAGAAGCCACTGTCGATCTCGCGCAGGCGTGGGAAGAACCACTCGCAGCGGCAGGAGACGACTACGTGCGGTTTGAAGTGCCGAAAAACCTGGATCCCTCGCCCGTGTCGCTGCCAGAGACACGAGTGGCTGAATACCTGACCAGAGTGTACTTCGAGTTTGCCAACTTCAGCTCCCCCGCGCTGCACGAGCCGACCTTTCGTCGGAAACTCGAATACGCGTATTCCATCGAGGAGCCGGGTCGTGTCAAAGAAGGGGACCGTCACGCCCATCTGGCGTTTTTCTTCTCGTATATGATTTTCGCCATCGCGTTGTTAACTCTGCAAAAGCATGATGCCACCGGAGTTCCGATGTCGCTGTGTGAACGCTATCACGGCGCGGCGCTGCGCTGCCTCGAGCCCATCGGACTGCCGGGTGATCTGGAAGGGGTGCAAGTTCTGCTGCTGATGGCACAGTATTCCTATCTCCACCCCAGCGTGTTTTGCACGTAGAAGACCGTGGGCATGGCGCTGCGACTGGCGGTAGAGCTGGGCCTGCATCAAGATCCGCCTCCAGGCAAAGTCGACCCGTTGACTCTGGACACAAGACGACGCGTCTTCTGGGTCGCCTACTCGATGGACCGGACTGTTGGGACGATCCTGGACAGGCCGTTCTGTCTGTCTGATGGGGCCATCGACACGCAGGTACGTCTTATGTTGTTATTAGACCTGTGGATGCTGATACGAATGAAATCCAGTTCCCTAGCCCAGTCAACGACGACCTCATCACAAGCGAAGGAATCGCCACCGGGGACTCTACCTCACTGGGCAAGAAAGCTTTCAGCATTTACTACTTCCGCTACCGCCAGCTGCAATCCGAGATCCAGGTGACGCTGCGTGAGCGCAAGCCTGCAGCCTATCCTCCGACCAACTACGAGACCTGGCAGCAGGACATGCACCAGCGACTGCTCGACTGGAAGTCATCGACGCCAAAAGACAGCGCACCGAGTAACATCGCTCCGCCGGAGGTCCTCGAGCTGGCATATCACCAAGCTCTGATTGCGCTATACCGCCCCTCACCGAACATTCCAAATCCGTCGGAATCTGCGATGGTGATACTAGCCGACTCTGCGTCCTTCTTCATCAAGCTGTACCGTCGCCTGCACCGCAAAAACAAGCTGCGGCTATTCTGGCAGGCAGTCTACAACCTGTTTGCTGCTGGGACCGCTTTGTTGTACTGCTACTCGCACTCCGCGCAGGTGCGCGAGCGCATGTCCTTTCGGTCACTCGAGACGACTGTTCATTCCTGTTCGGCGGCAATGTGGGCGATGGTCGAGCGGTTTCCTGCTGCGAAGGGGAAACGCGATGCTTTTGACGCGATTGCGTCTGCTGCGTTGGACGCGATTGCATCGACGATGGATAGGCCTGTGGGTATTGCGAGAAGCGAGACGGGGTCGTCGGTCAGCTAGTCCGGTCACTTCAATGGTCCTTCCAGTGCGATAGGAGGAACTGTTGAAAGCTCTGCACCCTGTCCCGGATCTGCAGTCATGACAGGCAGCCAGAATCTGGCTAACGTGGCTGAAAGGACGGCCATGTCAGATCCTGGCGGAGTAGAGAACAACGATTTCATGTCCTGGACGGGCACTGCAGGGGAGCAAATCGCCACAGATGATATATCTCTAGATATGGGCGTGTTTCAGGGCGCAAGCAGTTTTTCGCTCTCTACATGGGTTTGACAGAGTTTGGTAATCATAGCATAATAGCCATTTTCTTGCACGACAGCACTAGGTCAGCGTTATAGGAGAATCATGATAATGACCCAGGTCGTATATATATTCCATGAGCAATGTATTTTCAATCTATAGCATATATCTCGCCGAGTGTAGTTAAATAAGGGAAACCTCAGTAAATTCAACCACCGTTAAATCCATGGAATATACCGGAGATATCAATTTCCGCAACGAACAAGAGTGCGCAATGCCAACATAATCCCTGTGATACCTATGACATCATTTTGCAGGTACTTTTCGGCGTCCATTGGCCTCTCGGCTCTGTTCCTGCCTATCTACTGCAAAGGTAGATTGTACTGGGTGTTGTTAGGGCTATCACGGACGACACCGATGCCGGAGAAGACCGACTGGCCGCAGCGAATCCCGCAATCACTATTCCCGGCATAAAAATAGGAAATCGCGTTTTCTGCGTTGTTATGTTAACGCGATTGATTTCCATACATGAGGAGATGACTGCTGTGGCGTGGAACGTGCTGCAGTTTCTATTTCGATATGGTATCGTGACGAAATTCATATATATCCAAGTCTAATCCCATCCAAGCTCAGGTAATAGCACTTACTTGACTGAGGTATAGAGATTAGCAAGAGTGACCATGATTATAAGACGGTACTATGTAGGAAGAATAAACACCTCTAAGATGAATATGCGATATTGACATTATTAAGTAGATACTGCAGTATATACGCAACCATTTTGCGGATTATCAAAGAAATACAAAGTCGAAACCGCAATTTAGTGACGATGACTCAAATCCGGAAGCTGTCTGCCTCCTCCTCGCTAGTCGCAGTATTCTTTACCGTCCACTCACACAGCTCCTCCTGCTTCCTCTCATCATAGCTTTCGTCACTGGATTTGATCTGCCTCCTCTCCTTGTAATACACGCCGCTGATCCCCTCGACCTCCGGACTGGTCGCCAGCCAGGCCAAGTTCGCACCGGACTCCTACGGCGTATGGATGTTGGGCGTCAGCAGGCAGCGAAGCAGCGGAAGAATGCGAGGCATAACGTGCAGCCAGAGGAACCGCTCGATGGAATTGCCCTCTCGCACCAGCCCTGTCCCTGGCATCAGTCCCGGGTCGAAGGCAACCACCGTCCAGGACTTTTTCGCGCGGGTGATCCGCCGGTGGAGCGCATACGTCTACAGCACGTTCACCAGCTTGCTGGTCAAATACCGCTGGCGACCCGGGTTTCTGGCCGAATCTGGCGTCGGATGGGACAGTTCTTCGGCCGTCGTGTACTTTGCATCTGGCAATCCGGTCTTCTGCGCCGGGTCGTGAGTGCCGCTGGATGTTACCACGATGCGCGCCGTGTCTGCGAAATGCGGCTTGAGGAGCGAGAACAGCAGCGCGTGGCCGACATGGTTGATGGCGAATGTCCGCTCGAAGCCATCGACCGTGTAGCCAACGCCGTCTGGGAATTGCAATCCGGCGTTGAGAAGGAGAGCCTGAATGGGCGGATATTTCTTTGCTTCCCACTCGGCGACGAAGGAGCGGACGGCAGCCAGACTGGAGAGGTCCAGACGCAGGTAGCTGACATTGGCTTGACCAAGCAGACGGTTGATCGCTGCTGCTGCGTCGTGGCGATTAGTGCGTGAGGCCAGCACAATCTGATAGTCAGGGTGTTGACGGGCGATGTTGATGGCACAGTGATAGCCCATCCCGGCTGTGCCGCCGGTGATCAGAACGCTGCGATCCGGCATTGCGAGAATATCCACGAGTCCTTGCGATCAGGTCCGCCAGTGAAGGCTCTTTCGTATTGACCGAGGTCCTATTAATCCTTGCATTTTCGGCGATAGAACAATGTCCGCTACCGGCGTTAAAGACGGACATTGACACTGCCCCGGGGCATCAAGAGAAGTCCAATGGCGCTAGTTTGTTGATCTTTCTTAGCAGCTAGGATTAAATCGGCCGAGTGAGTGTTGTTGGCACTAGAGACGTGCAAAAACGGCCGAATGGGAGCTCACTAGCAGGACAATTTGGATCGGCTCACACGTCAGAGCTGACTTTGCCGTCAAGGTCTGGTTCTAATCATTGCAGAGCCACGCGAGACGAACTAGCTGCAGGGTGTGTTTGTCGAGATGCAGACACAAATGGGTTGCGCGCGACGTGTTAGTTGTTGGATCCGCATTCGTGTTGGCAGACGTAAGATTGGCTATTCCACGTATTGCCTCCAGGCATCACAAGAAACAAATATTAACTGGAATTTCTAGACTGATACTCGTGTTATCTCTCTGCAGTTCGAATGACGCGTAGGTGAGCACCACGACGTATCCTATATATAGTGCAGAAGACTTAGTACTAGGATCAACGTGTGTGTAGCGATCCAATAAAAAATAAAAGATAAGAAGTGATCATGCTATAAAGCCCTGATAAATTACCGCCAACACTACTCCGTATCTACAACAGGAACTGATTGCCAAATACGCACCCTACAACCTGCTTTCACGGCCGAAAGTCATTGACAAAAACATCTCTCGGCTTGCTCAATGTGCTCCGTCCGCGCTTCAGGAAGACTCCATCGCCCATCTTGCCCAGCAGGCCTCCATTGTCCCTGTCCCAGACGACCTTCCCCCGCAGGATGGTGTAGCGCGGCCAGTTCTGGAACTCCATGCCTTCGAAGGGCGTGTAGTCGATGTCATGATGCAGCATCGCGTTGGTGAGGGTGAACGGAGCCATCGTCTTCTGAGAACCGCGCTGCTTGGCTTGTTCCTCCGTCGGATACCAGATGCAAAATCGGCGTCGTAGCCCGGCGCAATGGTGCCTTTTCTGTCTCCCAGGCCGTATAGCTTCGCCGGATTGGAGCTCGTCAGCTCGACGAACCGCTGAATCGAGATGCGTCCGGTCAACACGCCTCCGCAAAAGAGCGTTGCCATGCGCGTTTCCACACCGGGGAGACCGTTGGGGATCTTCTTGAACGACATGGTCCCGTCGACCAAACCGGCTTTTTTGCCCTGGGGATGGTCGAATCTGTAGCAACTGTTAGACTGGAAGTGTGGAAAAAGATGGCTCATCTGACTTACTTCGACGGTGCATGATCGCTGGAGAACGTTGTAAACGTCCCATTGCTCAGTCCCTTCCACATCTCTTCCAGTTCCATCGGATCTTCTCGCAGTGGCGGCGAGCAGACACATTTTGCTCCCTCAAAAATTTCCCCCTTGAGCCTCTCGCTTGTTAGGAAGAGATAGTGTGGACAAGTCTCGGCGTGGATGGGCAGGAGTCGCGTCTGCGCTTTACGAACATGCGAGACGGCCACTCGAGAAGACATATGCACGATCAGGATCGGGATATCGATCAATTCGGACAGCGAGATGACGCGGTACGTCGCCTCGTCTTCGGCGATCTTGGGCCGCGAGACGGCGTGATAGTACGGCTCCGTCATCTTCCTGGCCTCGAGCTTCTCGGTGATCCAGTTGATCATCTCCGAGTTTTCGGCGTGGACCATGGTCGTCATCCCCAGTCGCCGGGTGCATTCCATCACGTCGAGGATCTCGCGGTCGCCGAGTTTGAGCGGCTCGTACGTCATGTACAGCTTGACAGAAGTGATGCCGCCATCCGTGACCAGCGTCGGCAGTTCCTCATCGACGATTTTGTTAGTGGGATTCGTCAGAATCAAATGGAAGCCGTAGTCGCAGTAGGCGTTGCCCGTCGCGCGACGGTGATAGTCTTCCACAACCGGAATCACGCTCTCGTCGGACCGCTTCTGGGTGGCAAAGGCGAAGACCGTCGTCGTGCCTCCGGCAACTGCTGACCGGGTGCCCGTCTCGAACGTGTCTCCCGTCACACTGTTATCCTGATCGAGGTGGGCGTGGGAGTCGACACCTCCTGGGGTCACGTAGGCGCCCTCGGCATCGATCACCTGTGCCGCAGAGAAGAGGGAAGTGAGATGCTGTCCCAGGAGGACGATTTTGCCCTGAGAGACGGCGATATCCTGGTTTAGAAGCACATCTGAGGCAGTGGCCTGGAAACGTATTAGAATCTTCAGCGACTGTTTTCGAGGGAATATCTTACGATGGTGGCATTGCAGATAATGAGGTCGACAGTAGGGAACACCTTCATTCTGATTATGATTGATGCAAATGATCACTGTCAAAGCTGAAAATTACATCGTTGTGCAGGGTGCAGCACGGTTACGAATATATATTATTCGACGTGATGGCCTTGTCGGCTGCTACTCAACAGTTGAAGCCGTTATCGGGCCTTCATGCCCTGTCTCCTCTCCTCCATTCGACCACGATATCGACTAACGCTGTGCCCCTCTCCAAGCTGAAGATAAATCGGACGATGCCATCCGAGATAAGCAGAGAGAGAGATAGACGTCTGCCCCGCTGATAGGCCGATAAGACGCCATCAAGCAACAAGCGTGATGCTATCCCCGCGCGATTGCAGTGCCGAAAGAGGCAAAACGGCAGAGGGCAGGAAGCCAAAGATGGGGTAACCAGGGTAAGGGGAATGAGTAAATGGCAGCTGAAAATGAATATCATTATTTAATGTCTGCCACGCCCAAGGCATGTGGACTATTGGAAATTCGACAACACTGTCCGAATTCCAGCCAACATGCCTCGCAATGTTCGCCTGGCCGCTGCCCAGATGGGGGCAACCCATCTCACCGACCCCAGAGAGAAGACGCTGTGCCGAATGCTGAAACTGCTAGAAGACGCGGCCTCCCAGGGGGCCCAAGTAGTGGTTTTTCCAGAGACAGCATTCACCACGTTCTTCCCCCGGCACCTGTTCCTCGACGAAGAGGAGCTGGAGTCCTGGTTTGAGCACGGCGATGTCCGCATCGCGCCGAATACTAAGCCCCTGTTCGACCGCGCGCAGCAGCTGGCGGTCGATATCTGCGTCGGTTTTGCCGAGGCCACCGACGACGGCCAGCACTTCAACTCGTGCGTCTACTACCACGCGAAGTCGGGCTCTATCCTGTCGAAGTACCGCAAGATCCATCTTCCCGGTGATTTCGAACCCTTTCCCGATCCCAACGCCATCAACCAGCTGGAGAAGCGCTACTTCAAGCCCGGAGATCTCGGCTTCCAGGCTTTTCGGGTGCCTGGATTGTGTCCCTCGGCTGACCGGGGAGACCCCATCTTTGGCATGATGATATGCAACGACCGTCGATGGGCCGAATCGTGGCGTGTTCTCGGCCTGCAGGGTGTCGAGGTCGTTCTCTGCGGCTACAACACGGCTGGCTGGGCCCCTGAGCTTTGGGGATCGTCCAAAGATCAGGATCCAGTCGAGGCAGAGCGGACAGCTCTCTTTCACCACAAGCTGGTGATGCAGGCCCATTCCTACACCAATGCCACGTTCTCGGTGAGCGCTGCCCGGTGCGGGCTGGACGATGGCAAATACCCGTTGATCGCTGGATCCTGCATTGTCGGGCCAGAGGGAAACATCCTGGCTGAAAGCAGGACCAAAGAAGACGAGGTTATCATCGCCGACTGCGACCTCGATCTGTGCCGGCAGGGCAAGCAAAGAACCTTTGACTTTGCACGACATCGCCGCATCGAGCATTATTCGCGAATCACCGCCCAGACAGGCGTCATCGAGCCGCCACGGCTCGACGTGAGTGCTGAGAGCCCAAGCAGTGACTATGTTCTCGTCAATCGCACGTGTCCTTCGAGCAAGACGAACAGCAAGAAGATTCGCATCCTGCTATGCAACCCGAATTCGACTAGGTTCATGACGTAAGGGTTAGGGTTAGGGTTAGGGTTAGGGTTAGGGTTAGGGTTAGGGTTAGGGTTAGGGTTAGGGTTAGGGTTAGGGTTAGGGTTAGGGTTAGGGTTAGGGTTAGGGTTAGGGTTAGGGTTAGGGTTAGGGTTTAGGGTTAGGG